CCTTCTTCAGGGTCGCCCTTTCAGAGGCTGCCTTGGCCCTCTCTTCCTCCAACTCCTTCTTTAGGGTCGCCCTTTCAGCAGTTACCTTGGCTCTCTCTTCCTCCAACTCCTTCCGCAGGCCCTCCATCTCCTCCATTGTCTTCGCATGCTCGCCCTCCAGCTCCTTCTGCAGACCATCAATCTTCACGTCTGCCTCATCCTTCTGTTTGACCAGCTCTTCATTACTGGTCATCGCCTCTTCATGTCGTTCAAGCGCGACCGAGCAGGCTTTTTGGGCCTCCTCCAGCCTCTTCTACTCGCCAGCCAGTTGGAACTCGAGCGACACAACCTGGCAACGTTCGTTCTCCAGCTCCAACTTGACCGCTCGCAACTCAGCATGGGCACTCTCCCAGCTTACACTCTCCTTCTTCAAACTCGCAAGTTGAGCCTTGGCCTCGTCTGCCTTCATCTTTGCAGCTGTTGCCTTTCTCAGCAGAGCCCCTGCTAAGGTAGTTACCTCCATTTGAGCAAAGCATAACCTCCTCAGCAGCTCAGCCTCATTGAATCTGGCGGCTGAGCGCACGGCCGCCTCCTCCATGATCCCCACAAGGCGATCTGCACCTACCTTGGCTGGGCCTTCTTCTCCCTCCAGCCGCCCAGCCACTGCGCAAGCGTGGTAGATCGCAGTCGTCAGACTGACTCCCCCTCCTTGGGGCGCAGGACCCCCCTAGGGCTGTTCTCCTCCCATTGGCTCAGGGCCAGTTGCTCCACCTTCTACTTGCACTTCGGGGGCGACCCTCGCGACCTCTGCGGCAATCCCCACCACTATTGGAACGACCTCTATTCCCTCCGACGCGATGTCCACCACTTCTAGGACGACCACCCTTCTTGGGGTCTCCTCCACTCCCCCCCTCTCTGCCTCCTTGGCCATACTGGTCTCTTCTGCCCTCACTTCCCTCCTTTTCTTCAAGGCAGGCTCTTCTTCACTCCCCCTCACTCTCCTCTTCTTCTTCACTACGCCCTCCATCTCTATCTCCTTCAAAGCCCTCTCCTTCAAAGGATCTATTGGGGGCGGTCGTGGCACAAATTCACCTAAGTCTCTTTCTCCTAAGGGTTTGGGGCGAGGTCGGATCCTCTCCCTCGCAACCGGCTTTGGCGGTTGGTCTGCCTGAGACTCTTTGAATTTTTGGGCTTTAGCAAGGATGGTCTGATCCTCCGCCTCTTGAGCCTTCCTCCTCGCCTCCAACTCCGCTCGGTCGAGGTCCCCACCGCTCGGCTGTGGACCTAACCCTACCGCAAACAAAGCCGACGACTAAACGAGCTCGTCCCATCTGGCTCCTTCCTTCTCCCTCCATTCCTTTACCCTCTTCACCCTCTCCTCCGCTGCTGCCCCCAGTTTTGGCTTTACAGATTTGGTGGGCACTCTCCACACCGTGTGAACCCTAACCTCTCCATTCGCGGACACGTAGAACCACCGCGGCCTCCAACCCTTAATTGATGACAGCAGCCCCGCCACCAGACCCCTCACTGCCGCCGCCTGCAGCGTCACCCAAGTCTTTTGTTGTCCTGCAGCGTCAACCAGGCGAAACCAGATCACTGTCATGGCCACCCCTTCGTTTGCCTTCGACTACGCACTTGCACAGGCCAGTACGATTTTCCACGCATTGGGCATTAGTTGGCCCAGCGCTACCTCCAAACGATTTAGGACATCTACCACCACTTGTGGCACTGGCAGCCTCAGGCCTCCCTTCAATGCTTCCTCATAAAGAGCAAACTCCCTTGGCTTGGCGTCGGATGGCCTTTCCGTCGACATCGACAACAATAACTCTATCTCAACAGGAACCTGGTATTTTTCACGAATAGCCTCCAACTCCGCTGCAGTAACCGTTGATTTGTCAACCTCCGTGTGCCAGTGATCCGATTTCGCCTGGTTGATTGGCTTCGGAGCTACCATTATGGTGGAGGCATGAGATCGTACCACCGGCTCACCCACCCTCTCCATTTGCCTCTCCGTCCTATATTGCTCCGCTAACTCCACCGCATCGTCATCACCAAGCAGATCCACCCTGGCATTCGCAGCTTCTTCTTGGTCCATTTCTATGGTATGTCTGCGAATCGCTTCAGATGCGGGTACAAGGAAATCGAAAAAGTGTTGCAGAGGTGTATCGTGAGCAACAAAGGAATTAACACTTGGAATGTTTTGATTTTTCGCAAAGAAGTAGGTAAATCGAATAATACCAAAAGCCCACGGTTTGCCCGTATTCCAAGGATCCCAATTAATTTTCGCCAGTTTGAAAACTTTTCAAAACATCCGCCAAAACTATCTTTTCAATACCCATAATGACGTATCGTTTCATTTTTGACCCAACGCCTAATCTCCCCCCACGAGATGTTGCCACGTATACGACCACGATCCACTGTCTCTTCTCACTTCCTTGTCTTTTCCACTTCAAGGCCATAGCCCACTATGAACAACCCAAGCCCATCACTCGGAGCCCAACACATAACCCAGCTGGTGAAGTCCAGAACAGTTGAAATCCAACATGGCATAAAGAACCAATGGCATTCAGATATATGGCAGGTAAAGGACAGGCCACATCAGCAGACAAAGATTTGTAAAGTTATTGCCACTGCACATCACCATTAATGCAGCCCATCACAGCATTTATTACGACAACACCTCTTCGTCGAAACAACACCCCCTTACCTTGAACAAGGTAAGCTACAGCATAGACTTTCGGCCAAGACGGCAGATCGGAAGGGACAACGAAATGATTACCAAAGGATATAAGCAAACATTGAAGACAAGAAGAAGGTTAAGCTTTCTATCTCCAATCTCTCTCTCTACATTCTACTTCTCTTTCTAACTTGCCCGTCGGAGGGTTCACTGGGGGACTATCTCATTCCCCGTTGAACTTGTTTGCAGGTTATTTGGCGGGCCCGATCATTTGGACGTGGACCTGAGGAACTTGAATTAGTCCGATCCATTCACCGGGATAAACTGTTTCACCAATATAAATACATCTTTTATGAAGAATTTTGATAGCTTGATGGGCCATGGAACCTATCACCTCCAATGTGGAGTCGCCGGGTGTAAGGTTTCACTTGTTGAATGACACAAAGGTGCAAATTTTTACACTTCTTTTATTTTCAAACACTGTGTTTGGAATATAATCAACCTTTCACTGTGAAAAACATCTGTTTGGTTTAAAAATTTTAAAAATAGTTTTAGAAAATTTTAATTCGTATTTTTTTTAACATTTAAATTTTTTTATAAATTTTATAGATCCACTTAATCTAAATACATTTAAAAAGTACAAAAATTTGTAAAAAATTTATTGAATATAAAAAAATATTAAAAAATATTGAATTTTTATATTTTTTTGTATTCAATGAATTTTAAAAAAAAATTATATAATTTTTATACTTTTTAAGTATATTTTAAATGGATCTAAATATTAAAGAATGATTAAAATATTTAAAAAGAAATTAAAAAATAATATTCTATTCACATTTCTTTCACATTTTTATTTTGTCTTTTTAAATTCTTATTCAAATGGTCAGTACCAACTTACCGTTTTCTATCTCCAACACAAAAATATATGATTGTTTTCAAGAAAATTGATTTTTCACATCTGTGCTAGTACAAACGGGTTTTTCAGGAAAATTGCTTTTTCACATATGTGCTAGTACAAACTGGTGTCTAGAGAGTGGACGCACATATCTAACCAACTAAAGCTTGGTTTGGGAAGTAGGTTGGTTTTTTGGCTTTTTGGCTTTTTTGGCTATTTTAGTCTGGGCTAAAAAGCTTGGTTTGGGAAGGGCTTTTTGGCTTTTTGGCTTTTTTGACTTTTTTTGTGAGAGAAGAATGTAATGATTATAGGTTGGATGTGATGTTTTGTTTGTTATGGCTAAAATAGCCTATTTTGTTTTTTGTGGCTAAAATAGCCAAAAAAGCCTGAAAACCATCTTGCCAAACAGAGGCTAAAAATCATAACAACAATGATTCATCCCACTAAAAACATCACCACTAATAGTACTAATGCATTTAAAAAGTAAAAAAAAAAAAAAAAATATAACTCCAAGACCAAAACATCACATCATTAATGACGGGACCCACTACCACCTAATTAGTGGGAGCACTAATTAGTGCTCCCAAGCATTTTTCAAATCATAAACACAACATTCAACAACAATAACAAATTATGAAGTACGGAGAATTGAGTACCCGTAAAAAATGCAGCGACACTCTATAAAGTTATACACCATGTATAATATATACACCTCACTATATATTGAGACTTATTATGATAATAATAAAAAAAATAAAATAGGAAAGAGAAGCTAATCCCGGGCAAGAAAACTTATGCATTTATATGTATGTATATTAATTTTCTAAAATGAATCAAACATTATACAAGCATATATTTAGGCCTCGTTTGGAAAGTGGCTATTTTAATAGGTTATTTGGCTTTTTGACTATTTTAATAGGCTATTTTAGTTTTTGTGTGTGGGAAGATGAGATGGATTTTATTTGAGTTGTTGTATTAAAAAATGTGTTGAAATGATGTTTGAAATTAAAATGACAAATTTGTCCCTAAAAAAATATTTTTTTAAATTGCTATGAAGGGGTAAAATCGTAAACTGTTTATTGATGGAACAAGTGACAAAGCTGACAGTGTAGGCTGTGCCTACACTGCCGACTATGCAGTCCTATTTTTTTTTTTTTTTTGAAAAAGTTTGCAAAAGTGGCTTTTTGGCTAAAAAAAATTTTTAGGCTATAATAGCCTCTTTAGGCACTTCCCAAACAGCGCCTTAAATTGTGTTTGGATCATAAATTTAAGTAGGAATTTTTTTAAAAAAATTAAAAAATGAGATAAATGCGAATGAAATATAAGTTAAAATTTTTTTTATTTCTCTTTTTATTTTGAAGTCTCTATCTAAATTCATAATTTAAATAAATAATTCAAATATAGAGTTTGAGAAAATTACAAGAGATAAATTAAGGAAACGAGAAGTACCTGGAAGCAAATTAACTTGAAACACACACAGAGAGGCAAATTAACTTGAGAGAGAGAGAGAGAGAGAGAGAGAACTTGTAAGGTAGGGAAGGGAGGAAGCCTGCTTGACAAATAGTAGAAGAGAATAACCAAGTGAGTTTCCGATCACAGAAAAGAATGATAATAAGGTGAGACTCAAACTAAGGGATTGTTTGGTAATTAAGGATTTTAGTTAAAAGATTAACAAAATATTTAAAAAATTAAAAATATGAATTCATATAAAAAAGTTAAAAATTCTTTTTTATTCACTCTACATTTTATATATTCATATTAATTTTAATTTTTTTATTTATAAATAATTGAATCTTACAATATACATAATTTAAATCGACACAATATCAACAGGCACAACAACTTTAATTTTTAAAGTTTAAAGCACAATTGTATTCTTTTGTCCTTAGGTAGGTAGGTGGGCCTTTTAAAAAAAAAAAAAAAAGGTAGGTAGGTGGGTGGGCGGGACGTTTTTTTAGCATTTTTCTCATCACTATCTTTCTCCTTTCCCTGTTCTCATTGAACCACTGGCCATGGCGTCTATACTAATTATATATACGACAATGCTACGTAGTTCAAATTTTGTGGCTCAAAAGTGGCTTAAATGGCCAAAACGACGTCGTTTTGAGTACAAAACAACATAAAAATGGCCAAAACGACGTCGTTTTGACCATTTGAGCCACTTTTGAACCACAAAATTTGAGCTACGAGACATTTTTCTTATATATATTAAGGAAAAAAAAAAGATTTTTAATAAGAATGAATGTGAGAATTAAGTTTTCAAACTAATTTTTTTTTTTTATAATTTAAAATGTAAACAGAAAATTTATTGATTAGTTAATTAAACTAAAAAATAAAAAATAAAAGTTCTAATTATTTATGATTTCAAATTTTAAAATTCAAACCAATATGAGAAATCATTCTTATCCTTACATATTAATTTCCTAAAATGAATCAAACATTATACAAACATATATTTAAGTTGTGTTTGGATCATAAATTTAAATACAAACTTAAAAAAAAATTAAAAAATGAGATAAATGTGAATAAAATATAATTTAATTTTTTCTTTATTTCTCTTTTTATTTTCAAAATCTCTATCTAAATTCATAATTCAAATACACAATTTGAGAAAATTACAAGAGATAAATTAAGGAAAACAAGAAGTACCTGGAAGCAAAGGAAGGGAAGGGAGGGAGCCTGTAGAAGAGAATAAACCAAGTGAGCTTCCAACCATACAGAAAAGAGTGAAAATAAGGTGAGACTCAAATTAAGGGGTTGTTTGGCAATTAAGGATTTTAGTTAAAAGATTAAAGAATTATTTAAAAAATTAAAAAATTAAATTCATATAAAAAAATTAAAAATTATTTTTTTATTCACTTTACATTTTATTTATTCTTATTAATTTTTTTTAATAAATAATCGAATCTTACCATATAAATAATTTAAATCGACACAATATCAACACACACAAGAACGTTAAAGCACAATTGTATTCTCTTGTCCTTAGGTGGGCGGGACCTTTTTTTTTAGGGCAAATTACATATACACCCCTCGAGGTTTGGCTAAATTACAGATACCCCCTTGAGGTTTCAGAAATTACATCCCGCCCCCTGAAGTTTGTATTTTCATAACAATTTGCCCCCTGAGGTTTATATTTCATAACAAATTACCCCCTAATTTCTTATGCAAATATAGCATTCAGGGGGGAATTCGTAATTTCTCAAACCTCAGGGGGCATCTGTAATTTAACCAAACCTCGAGGGGTGTATATATAATTTGCCCTTTTTTTTAGCATTTTTCTCAACCCCACATGTGACAGGCACAACAACTTCAAAGCACGGTATTCTCGGCTGATTTTCCTGACTATGAGATTTTCAAAATTTTGGGTTTTTCTCTTTGTTTTTAATTGGAGGATAAAACGGTTTTACTGAAATTGTTTCTCAGAAAACGACTTTTTGAAGAACCGCGTTTTGCAATTAAAATAATAATAAAATTTAAATACATTTTAATTAATTATGAATTAATTAAAAACAGTTTTGATAAAACCCTCTTTACACTTAATTTTTTTTAAATTTATATTTTTAACATTAATATTTTTTGACCAAAAATATTTCTAATACAAAAATGATTTTAGAAAAGTTGTTTTATTAAATGGATTCAGAAAAACCGTTTTCACAATTTTTTTTTTTTTTTCTTCATGTGAGAAGGTTGTTGGACTTGGAAACCAAAAGATGAGAGAGAGAGAGCAGCAATTCCAATGCATTCAAAGATGAGTTTCTTTAGAAAATTACAGCACATACAAAACATAATCCATATAATATTCCAACAAATCTCATCAAGAATCACGTTCAATTACTTATTATATAGAACATATATTGCGGGGGTTTGGAAAATTGTTATTTTAGTAAATTATTTTAATTTTTAACTATTTTAGTAAATTATAATTTTTATGTTTAGAAAGATAATTGAATTTTTTTATAGTTGAATATGATATTTGTGAAAAAAAAAAATGATTATAAATTTGATATAATATTTTATCTTATTAATTATTTTAATCTATTTTATTTTATTTTTTTTTATAAATTTTAACCTAAATTAAGTGAAAATCACACTACCCAAACAGCCCGTATAAATTAAGTGAAAATCACGCACGCATTCCTGATCTTCCACCGTCTCCTTTTCTCTGTCAAGAAAGTTCTCCACTCGATAAATTCTTGGGTTTTTTTTGTTTGTGTGTGTGTGTGTGTGTGTGTGTGTGTGTGTGTGTTTGTTGGGGGGAGCTCATCATGGGTGTTGTTGGAGGTTGATGTGAGAAATGACAAGTGTGATAAGCTTAGGGAGGTTTTTGTAAAATCAGAATATTTGACCACATTACAAGGTAGCGTTGGGTAATGGTTACGTTTTTTATTTATAATTATAAAAATTTTATAAATTAATTTTTGTTTATTTTTAAAAAAATATAAATTATAAACGTATTTAGTTTAAACAAAATGTTTGAAAAATTTTAAAAATATAAACTAAAAAATATGTTTATTAAGGCCTAAAATATTTATATTTATTTTTTATTATTTATGATAATGGGATCATACACATTTTAATTCAAAAAAAATTTAATTAAAAAAATTATTTGAAAAAATTTATTTGACAAAAAAAATTAATTGAAAAAAAAATTTTGTTAACCAAAATTTTAAATTTCTGATTAAAAACCAACGTAAGCTCATTTTTTTAGTTTACGTTTTTTTCTCGAATTTACAAATTGAGACAACCATTTATAAACCAAAAAAATTATCAAACAAATTTTTATGACAGTTTTTTAAATTTTGTAAATATAAACTGAAAACGAAATGGTTACCAAACATATATTGTGAGGGTTTAAGAAGTTATTTTAGTAAGTTATTTTAGTAGATTAAAATTTTTGTATTTAAAAATATAATTGAATTTTTTTATAGTTCGATGTGATGTTTGTATTATCAAATTAAAGGCTATTTTAATTTATATTTTCAACATAAATATTTTTTGACCAAAAATATTCTTAATACAAAAATGGTTTTAGAAAACCCGTTTTATAATCAAACACATCACTTAAAATTATTCAAAACTCAATTCAAAACTCAATTTCAAAACTCATAACTAAACACACAATTCAAAACTCAAAACCAAACTCTTTTTAAAATTCTATTTTTAAAAGATATTTTTTTATTTTGTTTTTTAAAATTATTTTTAAGATCATGATTTGAGTGTGGAGTCGTGTTTTGAGTCATGAGTTTTGAAAAAAGAAAATTTGTTTGGTTATGGGTTTTGAAAAGAGTTTTGAGTTGTATTTTAAGTTTTGAGGTTTGAATTGTCTTTTAAAATTTTTTGGATTTATTTTTTATAAATTTCTAAATTTTTTCTTAATTTTATTTTTTTAGGATAAATATTTTATATTTTAAATATTTATTTATTTATTTTAATGTGCACTCTATTTCATACATTTTTGTGTTATATTTTTTAAATATTAAAAAATTGAAAAAAAATAATTTTTATTTTAAATATAATTTTTATTTTAAATATTTTATTTTATTTTATAAAAATATCTTTAAATATTTTTTTTTTAGTTATATGTATAGTTACTATTTGAGTGTAGAGTTTTGAAAGTAGTGTGAAATTTCATGTTTAATTATGAGTTTTGAAAATAATTTTTATATGTTTGGTTATGATTTGAGACTCTTTTTAAAACTCAAAACTCTTTTCAAAATTTAAAATTCAAAAACTCCTTTCAAAACTCTTTTTAACACTCATAACCAAACAAATTTTTTCTTTTTAAAATTCAACTCATAATTCCATACTCAAATCACAAATCCACATACAAAACATAATTTCAAAACTAACCAAACACCATCCAAAATTTCTGAATTTATGTGGACCCAAAAAATGATAGAAATTTTTGTAAAATTTCAAATCCAAAATTCACAAGAAATTTAACTTATATTTTATTTACATTTTTTTCATATTTTTACTTTTTATTTTTTAAAATCCTTACCAAAACGACATACGACTCTTGCACCAATTTTACGTTATCCATCTCCAAAACAAAAATATATATGAGTGCTTCCGCGAAAATTGCTTTCCTTTTAAACACTTCAAACATATGTGCTGCTACAAATTCGTGTCTAAAGAGTGGACACACATATCAAACCAACTAAAAAATAAAAACACAACATTCAACAGCCAAAATTAAAATAAAATAAATAAAATAATAATGAAGTTCGGAAAATTAAGCACCATAAAAAATGGAGTAACACTATAAAACTAGATGCATGTATATGTATACACTTCACTTTATATATTGCGATATATAATAATAATAATAATAATAATAATAATAATAATAATAATAATAAAATCAAATTAAAAGAGAGAAGCTAATCCTGGGCCGAAAAACTTATGCATTCATATATATGTATATTTTCCTAACAAGAATCAAGCATTATTGATGCTATATTTAGACTTCGCTTGTATCACGAATTTTGATGAAGATTTACATAAGTAAAGAAAAAAGTAATGAGACAAATATGAATAAAATGTTAGTTAATTTTTTATTTATTTTTTTAAACTTTTATTTAAATTCATAATTTATATACAGAGCATACAAGAGAGAAATTAAGCAAAACGAGAAGTACCTGGAAGCAAATCAACTTGAAACAGAGAGAGAGAGAGAGAGAGAGAGAGAGCTTGCTTGAGAAATGTAGTAGCATAAGAGAAGAATAGCCAAGTGACAAATACAAGAGAGAACTTAATAATTGGATTTGTTCTTACTTGTCTATCTGTGTTTGTCTTTTCTTTTTGTCTTTTAAAAATGGCCAGTCCGTTTGGTAAATTATTAGATTAATAAAATAAAAAATTGTGACTTCTCACCTAACTTTGAAAAAATAAAATAAAAAATGATTGTGATGTTTCATAATTTTATTTGGACAAGATAAGAATTAAAATAGAACACGTCTCTTTTTATTTTATACATGTTTGATAAATAATTTTAGATATTATAAAAATATTATACATAATTATTTGTACTTTTTTTAGAAAAAATTTCACTAATTTGATGAGAAATAAATATGAGTTTTAATTAATTAATTAATTTGATTATTTCTTTTTTTTTTTGTTATTTCTTACCTCTTTAATTATTCAAAATAAATGAGAATCTTTTTTTATATTTTTTAGCAATGTTACATCTCCTAATTTTACTTCCTTAATTTCACCTCTAATAGTGTGACACACTCCCATATGAATTGATTTCACGCTCCTCTCCCTCTTATCTTTAATTTTCTTAATTCCACATTATTAGATGTGAAATTGAAAAAATAAAATTAGGAGATATTCTTGGGCTTTTTTTTTTTAAGGTCCCTGGTATTAACATTTTATAGCATAAAGGACACCAAATATTTTCATCATGTCTAAGGTCCCTCAAGTTGTTCCAGAGAAAATTGGTCCAGAGAAAATTAGTCCAAAGAAAATTGGTCCAGAGAAAATTAGTCCAGAGAAAATTCACATCACAGAGAAATTTGGTTCAGTGAAATTCTGACTTTCCAGAGAAATTTTACAAATTTCTCTGATTTGAGAAAGGAAGGGAACATTAGAAAATTGATCCAGATAAAATTTCAAATACATGCACTTACATCCGTTGTGGTTCAAGGTAAAGCACAGAGATCAGCAACAACCCTTCCCAATATCAGCAACAACCCACCTTCTCTCTCTCAAGTCTCGGAATGTGTTTTAAACAAATTTTTCTGACTTCTGAATTTATCTCCAGAGAAATTCTGAATTTCTCTGGAACTGATATTGATGTTTGCAGATTCATCCACCAAATTTCTCTGGACATAAATTGATGACCAACCTCGTGGAAGCAGGTGTAGGTTGCAGAAAATGCAATCTAAAATGCAGATTGGCATCTTAACCGAACCCAAACAAAAACCATGATCCCCAAATGCATTGTTTGCTTACCAAGAAAATGCATCAACAAAACAGAAGAAAATAATAGGCATGATGAATCTCCAATTTCAGTAATAAAACCCAAAGAAACAGAGACATTTCACCTTCACTAATCCTAATCACTTTTTTTTTTTTTTTGGTTGAAGTAAACATAAACACATAACAAAAATTATACTTTATTTTCTTACATCATATGTTTCTCAGGAAACAAACAATGGTACATTACCAATTTTCCAATCACTTTGCCTTAAAAAATGTCTTCTACAAACCCACCAATTTCAAAGAATTCAGACTCTGACTACACCTCTTCGATTCAATGTACACATATACAAAACAAAAATATTTTTATTGGATTTAAGAAACATAAAATGGAATTACCCGAGTCGCATGGAACTGTAATTTGAAAACAAATTTGATCTTGTTCTTCTCGCTCCTCCATAGCGCCGACTTGAACATCTTCTCCTTTAAGCCTCAATTTCACATCGTCTTCCTCGAAATTAGGGTTCACCGGAGTTCCGCCGGAAAACCTCTGTAACTTCGGAGCTCCGGCGACTCCTAAATCACCATTTTCACCGTGAGTTTGCTGGTAGGTAAGGCGCTTGATGACACAGTCGAGGTTGAGGCGGTAGCCGCCGGATGGAAGGAATTGGGATTGGCGAAGGTCGTCCTCGTAGACGGCGAGAATGAGGCGGCAGATACGGGGACTTCCTCGAACTCCTGAGAATAGAGAAGTTTAGAGAGAGAGAGAGAGATGAGTTTTGATTTGGTAAGGTCAAATTTCTCTGATATATGTTTAGGGACCTTAGACATCAAAAAATAATTTTGTACATCTCTTCCATTACGAAAAATGAGAGAGGGACCCTAGACCAATTTTTCCGATATTCTTTCATTAAATAATTCAATTAGAATAATGTCATGCTCAGCAGTTGCATCATCGGAACAAGGAAAATATAAAATAAGGGGTAGTTTACCTGTCACTGGCAATCTGGCATATAAAAACCAAGTTACACGTCAGTGGAAAGCTTTTGATAATTTCAACACGAATGTGATCTACAATTTTAATTAGGATTATTTATATGACAACTTCTTAAATTATTAAAAAATATTATTTTGATTTTTTAAATTATAAAAATATATAAATAAGTCTCCTAAATTATTACAAAAAAATATTACTTTTCTCCCTAAATTATAAAAGTATATAAATGTCCTAAATTATTGTAGTGTTCCACTTTTACTCCTTCCATTAAAGGATGTAGTTGGTTCATTTTTATAGTTTAAAGAGTGAATTACATTAATAGTCCCTATAGTTTGGGATTTGTGTCACTTTGGTCCCTAACTTTTCAATTGTGATACATTTGACCTTAAATTTTTAATCTTGTTCCAAATAAGGACAATTGAAGATATCATTAAATTTTTTAAGGATAAAATCGTCAATTTGATAAAATATAAACTAATTTGACAAAAATAAATGTCAAACAAATATTTTTGAATTTTTTAAAATTAGTTCTACTCACTAAAAATAAAATTATGTAAAATTGATAAATCTTTTAGACATTTACTTTTTTTTTTTACGAAATTAATTTTTATTATGTGTTTGGATAATGATCATGTAAAATTAATTTTTAAAGATTAATCATGTAATTTTTATCAATTTTACATAATTTTATCATTGGTGGATAAAAATAATTTTTTTAAAATAAAAAATATTTTTTTGACATTTATTTTTGCCAAATTAGTTTATATTTTATTAAATTTACGATTTTGCCCTTGAAATTAAATAATGATATCTTCAATTGTCCTTATTTGGAACAAGATTCAAAATTCATGGTCAAATGTGTCATAATTGAAAAGTTGGAGGCCAAAGTGACGCGAGTCCCAAACTATAGAGACTATTAGTGTAATTTGCCCTAGTTTAAATGATCTATTTATGCACTTCTCTAATTTAGGAGTTAAAGTGATATTTGTTAATAATTTAAAAGATCTATTTATATACTTTTTATAAATGAGTCAAAATAATATTTTTTTAATAATTTAAGAGTCTTCATTAAATAACCCTTTTAATTATAAAGGAAGGATAACTCATAAAGGAAAATGCTATAGACCCCAAATGAATTACCAAATATTCTACCGAACCTTTTATATGGGTGTAGGACTCACACACATGTGATTTGTGTGGGTCCCACACCCATGTGAAAGGTTTGGTAGAATATTTGGTAATTCATTTGGAGTTTCTAATGCTGTGTTTGGTTGGAGGATTTGGGGAGAGATTTGGAAAAGATAGGTGAAATGTGAATAAAATATGTATATATTTCACATAGTTTCACACACCTTTTCCCTTTCCCTTTCCAAATCCCTCTCCAAATCCCCCAACCAAACACACCATAAGAGTTCGGATTGTTAGTCGCCTTCTCCTGCCGCCCTTCCTTCGGCGTCCCAAAACGACGTCGTTTTGGGGCCAAATTTCAATTAAAAAAAAAGAAAGAGACAGAACAGAAGCAACCTAGAGATGGAGGAGAAGAAAGAATGGAGAAGAGACAGTGTCTTCTGATCAATGCTCAAGGCTCTCATGGAAGCAGAGATCTTTCTATTCTTCTCATGGGCTTTATCTATCTCTATCTGTAGTGTCCCCTCTGTAAAACATACAAATTTGAATAACCCCAAAAACAAAGATAAAAATTTTGCAACAGAACAAAAAAATTCAAAGGTGTGACGACCAAGTCCTTCTTTCTCTTTTCTTCGCTTTTCTTTCCCTCATCGTCCCGTTCTCCTTTACTTCGTTGGATTTAAAATGATCAGAAATAGTTCTCTAAATAGAGTCCTTGATCTTATTTTATTTGGTTATCGATTTTCACTAGTTTCGGAGAGTGTCAGGTCAAGCCCGGAGTGGGCGGGAGTCGAACCAGAAATTTTTCTGGACAGGTTGGCTGGCCACACGTGTGGGTAGTGAAGTCGCACGTGCGGAATTCAGGGGATTGTTTGGCTTTCTCTCTGCTTAAATTACAGGTGTGGATGGGGAAGTGCGGGACCAGCCGCACGTGCGAGGATCAGTGCCGCACATGCGGGGATCAGTGCAGCACGTGCAGGAGATAGCAGCCGCATGTGCGGAGGCACGTATCGCACGTGCGGGGCGGGATCAGTTCGAAAACCCTATTTTTTGTTCTCATTTTGGCCGAAATTATCTCATTTTCTAACCCTTCTCTCTCACTCTAAAAGTCACATTTTCTCTTCATTCTCTCTAGAAAATCTCCTCAAACACCAAAATACTTTGATTCTTGCAATCTTTGGATTAGATCATCATTATCTCTCTCAATCTAGAAGATTTAGAACAAGAACTTCACTTGTGGTGAAGATCCAAGCTCTCTCTCATTCTTGAATTCTAGGGTTTCTACTCCACTTCTCCATCAAACCTTGAGGTTAGGAAATCTCCTTGAGTTATATATATATATATATATATATGTTAGATTTGGTTGATTTAAGGCTTTCATCAATGATATTGAAGGTTTGGTTGTGCCTCATAAATGCTAGGGTTATGATGGTGGGATTGGTCTCTCTCTCTCTTCCTAAATTAACTCTTGAAAATTTTCTTTAACTAACATAATAGGAGGGGCTGTTGTCTTGAGAGAAAAACCCTTCCAAAAGAGGGGGAGATGTTTGCTTTGGTTTTGACATAAAAACCATAAAAATTTTGGGGAGTTTGAAAGATGAAAATTGGTTTGGGAGCATTTTGTTGTTTTGTCATTAGGGAGTGAACTTTCATCTTATATTTAGCAAAAATGACAATTTACTTGATGTATGAGAAATGAAATACTACTC